TATATAAGTTCTTTTTGGGAAAATTTCTGTGTTTTGGCCTTTTTGTATTGAAAATTTGACAATTTAATATTGCACTCGTTGACATACTTCAAAAGTCGGGGCTTAACTCGAGCAACAACTTTTTTGTCAAACTTCGAGTTAAGCCCCGGGGCTTAACTTGAATAACCCAAATCGTGTTTGGTTCTTCGAGTTAAGCCCTTTTTGAAAAAGGGCGTGGTCATGGCAAAACAGGGCGTGGTCGGGGCTTAACTCGAAAAGGGCTTAACTCGAGGGGCTTAACTCGAAGGGCTTAACTCGAAGATTCCCGACCTCGCGAAATCATGAAATATTGACTTATTAAGAAATTAAAATATCTTTGTAAATTTAATTGAGAAAAATATCTATAAAGCAGATTCTTTCATGCATGCTTAAGTAAATTTTATGCATAAAGAAACTGTTTAAAAACAGTTCTTTATGCATAAAATTTACTTATGCATGCATGCATGTCACGATTTTAGGCACTTGTGGGTTCAGCAGAGTACTGAGACATTCAAATTCTTTTAACAATACGTTATTTTAATTGTTTTCGGGTTTTTGAGACACCCTACAGACCACTCAGGCATTCAAGTTATAACAATAAGATGAATTTCTGAAGGGTCACTTTTTTAGGCCCGTTTTATACGTCGAATTGTGGTCGCGTCGAATGCAATTCAAACAATAGATAATGAGATGATAAACCTCATTAACCTTCATTATCTATTGTTTGAATTACATTCGACGCGACCGAAATTCGACGTATAAAACAGGCCTTAAGCCTGCAGCACACGAGAGCTATCTGCTGAGCCAAAAGTTACTCGTGCCTGTTAGCTCAGCTGATAGCTCACCGATCAAACATGTTTGATACGTGAGAAAAGGTTGCATGAGGCAAAAAACTCAGTAAAATGTACGCGCACACGGTGAGCTATCGGCTGAGCTAACAGGCACGAGTAACTTTTTGCTCAGCAGATAGCTCTCGTGTGCGGCAGGCTTTAGACAGCTTGTGCTTGAGCTTGCGGTTATGTCAAAGGTTATGTCGCATGCTTCACTGCATTTCTTTGTTTTGCCTTTTGTCTTTTCTTGTGCTTGTGCTCATCCGTGGAAAAGTTGATGGACATGAAAAAGTGGAATTACATAATTAACGTGCTTCCGCGCATACCCCTATACACGGTTGCAGGTCCTAAATCCTGCCTTGGTCGTAACTGTCGCGAACGTGTCGTAACTGTCGTCAGAGTAGTGTTTGCGACCAAATGGAAACACGAAGAAATGTCTTGTCGCGACACGCTGGCAACAGTTCACGGCAGTTACAACAGTGTCATCGAGATAGGCTCGAGTTCTATCTCAACGACAGTTGCGACAGACTAAAAACGTGTCGTGATGGTTATGTTTTAATGGTAACAGAAAAACGATAGCGTGACAATAGTTTTGCGACAATCAAGGGGGGCAAAGGTCCCCTTTGGGAGAATCATGTTTGTCTTTTTAAAACTTGTACGATTCCTGGGTAAGAAGTTAACTTGCGAAAGTGCACGACATTGTCACAACAGTTACAACCACATGATGGAAAACGCGTAAAAATAATTTGACGACACGTTGGTTACTAGGCTTTATAGGTCGGTTTCAACATGCTACAGTTCATGAGTGCACATGGAGGGCATTTACAAAAAGAATCTTATTAGAATCTCATCACTTGCCCTTCATCTGTTTTTCTGTTAAACCTGGTTTCCATATCAGTGGTCGTAACTGTCGCGAACGTGTCTTGAAGTGTTTCAGTGTGGTGAATGATTCTTATGCTTGTTTCCATATCGTTGTAACTGTCGTGACACTGTCGTGCACTTTCTCAAGTTATATTAATTTTGTATCCAAGGGATCGTACAAACAGCTGGCGACAGTTTTAAACAAACTGTTGCCACACTGTCGTTTTTGTGTTTCCATTCAAAAATGACCGTCACGACACGTTTTTAACCTGTCGCAACTGTCGTCGAGATAGAACTCGACTCCTATCTCTTTGTAACTGTCGTTTTGCGAAAGTGAAAACGGCATGCGGTTCGCTTTTTATAGCCTTTATAGGATTAAAAACACAATGAAATACTCCCACAAATTGTTTACAGGTTATTAGCATATGAATTTTTTAAATTTAAAATGGTTACAAATATATAGCCGAAAGAATCGGCTATCAGCTCCTATTTGGCTCGAGTTCGTAGAATAACTGTTAAATACCTGGGGTTCAGTACAAAATTTGTTTCGGGACTGTCAAAATATTTTATAGTATATTTTTTTGAGTTAAAGAGTGAAGTTTCATTCGGCATGCGCACGTCCAAACTTGTAAAAGAGAGATGTAAAACAGTCGGAAGTAATCGGAAAACCAGATTTGAATCCCAATCATTGAAGTATTCCCATGGGAAAAGTGTTTCTTGCAAATTTTTGCTCAAAAACAAACTTTTAACCGACTTTTTTCACACTATTGTTCGTCCGTACTTTGACTACTGCTGTGAAGTATGGGATGTATTTGATGAAACTCAATCAAAACGACTGCAAAAACTTCAAAATAGAGCGGCAAGAATTATTCTGAATATAAGCAATGACGTAGATTTTACGATCGCTTTACGTACTTTGGGCTAGGAGCTACTCCAAACTGAAAGGAAGAAAACTAAAGCAAGAACGATGTATAAGTTATTAAACAAAATGGGCATGGCCAGAAATCACAGACATTTTCATTTCTCAGGTTTCACGTTACCACGGGCACCCACGCAACAATGGCTGCGCAATGCCCTATGTTTATTATCAGGCAAGCAGAGTATTTTCAATATACTGAATATAGCATGCTATATATAAATCTTTGAATATTTGTTGAAATTGATTCCAGAATTAGCGGTTGTATAGTAACACATTAAGAAAAAATGTTCTCATTTCTTTGCATATTCGCTCTGCTTTTTGCGATTGAACATTACAACATTTTACCTCACTTTACATAGGAATCTATAAAGGTTTCTCGCTCAAAAGGCTATATCTCGTAATATATTCAATTATCGAAATTTGTTGAAATCATTTTATCTTGACGAATAGTATAGCCTTATCTTCCGCCATTTACTATTTTGTTACACCCGATAAAAGCTCTGCTTTTTTGTTTTGACTAATTCGCAAGCCGGTGCGTTAATATGCATATTATAATATTACTTCGCGGTCGAAGTGATATTCCATTCGCTTGCCAAACTCGAAATATTGATTGCCTTGCTACATGTTTGGTACCAAAATACTCGTCGAAAGCTTCTCTTTTCGTTCCCGTAGTCATTGCTTAGCTACACCCTGAGCCTGATAAACTAAAGGCCACAACTTGAGTGCATACTTCATGCTTTGCTTTATAAACAACACCCACGCGAATATTTGAAATTCCGGATGCCTTGATAGGTCGTAAAAGGATAATTAGGAATTCTCGTGGATAAACGGAAAAGCCGCTGACCGACTGGTACGCTTGCACAATGTCCGTCATTTCTGGCCATGCCCAAAATCACTCACAAATCTATTTTCGTTTAAGAGTGAGAAAACTAATTACCACCTTCGGGATGTCTCAAGTGGTCGCTAGTCCGGTTTAGGCGAGATTCCCGCCTTTGTTATCATTTCCTACCAAATTTCATTTACGTTTATATGCATGGAAACCGAGCTGGCCCGCCTATACAGGGTGTCTCAAAAAAACCCAAAATCATTGAAATAACGTATTGTTCGAATTTCAATGCCGTAACACAAAGGATTTTGACAGGGTGATTAATTTGTTTTAAAAAATTAAAATATCTTTGTAAAGTGAACGTTTGTTTGCTCATGGGAATTTAAAAATGCTTCGTAAATTGTAATATGCGTAATATGCATTCGTGGGTTTAGTACTTTATGCCTGACATAACAAGTTTACGCTGAGTATTACCATTCATTATAGCAGTTATGTCAATCTTTTATGCACTCGTGGGATTAACTTAGTGCTAGGGCATTGAATATCGAACAATACGTCAAGTATAACTGCAAGATCCCGCCTCGACTGACCCGAGCTCTTGGGTGACCGGGCTGGGGAATTTTCCATATAAATGCAATTACCCGGCCGTGTTATTGCTCTGTTCACGCGAATATATTGTTGTAAATAAGATTTTCTCATCAAACGTTCGATTTTTAAAGGTGTTTGTGAACGATTCTGTGGGTTATAACCGTGAAAGTTGCTCGTGAAAGTGCGAATTTCTCGTTCGTGAGAAAACTTGATATGTTTAATATATTATACTGTGCATTATCTGCATGGTTTGCTACTGCCATTGTATTGCATGGCCATAGGTTTAAACTAATGACAGGATTACCATTCTTAATAGCCAATATGACAATATATTTACAGTTTGTTCTGGTTAATTGAATATCATTTCGCGAGAGTATTCACAAGCAAACATCACTATTCAGTTATATTCGATATTCTTTAACGGCCAGTTGTGTAAATGAGATAATCTCAAGAGTTAGAAACAGAAGATTGACAAATAAACATGGCCAATGAGCAAACAGAAGAGAGCGAATGTGCTCTCAGCAACGATAAATTAAAAGAGCAGGGTCATCCAAATGGAAATACAGCAAATAAAGAGAACGCTTCTGGCATTGACGACCAGTGTGCAACTTCTGACATCGTAGTTAATATGATTGCAGCGGAACCAAACCCGAAGAGAAGTATTGCTAAGATGTTTGAAACAAGCTTTGGTTTGATTGGAGCACATGGAAGCGTCAGGAAGGAATTGTTTATTAACGCTGTCAAGCAAATCGAGGTAGGTTTAGGCACTGAATATATCGTTCTACGATCAGAAATTGCAAAACTCTTGACAGGGTGGGTTAGAATAAACGCACTTAAGAAAGTATAGTATCACAATTGTTGAGAAGATAAAATAGTGTAGGCTAAAGTATGTAATCACGTATAGAGAAGCGTAAAACTGGAAATATGCCCGTCCCATGCAAAATAATATGGCGCTCCCGGGCCAAGTTTCGTAAATTTATGGCCCTCCATTCGGAAATTTGGACTCACTACTGCTATATAGACATCTCTATGTTTGCTTTAACAGATGTTTGAAAACGTAGAAGCATAAATAAATCTAAGTAAAAGAAGCTTGTAACTATCTGAAACAATTTCGATACATTTTACAAGATTCATCCGATCTTGGTAAAAGCAGAATAAAATTTAACGGATTAATACTATACAGTTTCAAGTGCCCGGGGTGCTTTTGTATTCCAAGGAAGAACACAATCTCACACGCCTTTTTATGACTCGACAAATATTAAAGCTTAATTCATGAAGCTGAATCTCGTATAAACGTATATTTGGCAAATGAAAATCTCATTCTCAAGAAGATAATGATGGCATAATCGGCGTTAAAACCTTTTCCCGAGCCAACGGCACAGAGCGACGTTCCGGGCGCTAGACCGGTGCGAGGGTACTAATTCCGCTCGGCTATTTACACTCGGGGAAAGGAGTATAGATATCCAGATCTTTATCACAGAGAGTCATCCAGTCAGTCATCTTGCGAACCTCTACACGACCTTGCCAGTATTGTATACCACCATGAAGTCTTGCGTGTGGCTACACACTGATAGGTGGCGGCCGTGGCGCCGCTCAAAGAATATTTCGATAATATTCCACCAAATAGCATGAGTGAAAGGAACCGTGATAGTTGCTCGCGAAAGTGCAAATTTCTGATATGTGACAAAATATATTTAATATATTAATTATATACTGTGCATTATCTGCATGGTTTGCTGCTACCAGTTGCATGGTCATACGTTTAAACTATATATTAATGGCGGGATTACCATTCTTAATAATCCAATATGGTTAATCGAATATCATTTCGTGAGATTATTCACAAGCAAACAACACTATTGTTATATTCGATATTCTTTAACAACGAGTTGTTTAAACGAGATAATCTCAAGAGTTAGAAACAGACGATTGTCAAGTAAACATGGCCAATGAACAAACAAAAGAGAACGAATAATTGTGCTTTCAGCAACGATAAATTAAAAGAGCATGCAGGGTCATCCAAATGGAAATACAGCAAATAACGAGAACGTTTCTGGCAATGACCACCAGTGAAAAAGTTCTGACAGCGTAGTTAATATGATTGCAGCGGAACAGAACCCGAAGGAAAGTATTGCTATCTGGTTTGAAACAAGTTTTGGTTTGATTGGAGCCTATGGAAGCATCAGGAAGGAATTGTTTAATAGCGCTATCAAGCAAATCGAGGTAGGTTTAGGCACTGAATTATATCGTTCTACGATCAGAAATTGCAATACTCTTGACAGAGTGGGTTAGAATAAACACATTTGAGAAACTAATATCACAAATTGACGAAAATGATAAAATAAGCTATAGGCTAAAGAATGTAATCACGTAGGGAAGTGCAAACTGCATATGAAGTGTATTTGATCATATATCCACATGTATGAAATCTGCGCTATAGAAATCGTACGCCTGCATGTATTCTAAAAGCTCTTAAAAAGTGCAACTTAACATTCAACAAGTCTCCACCCATCCTCACTGAGCATGAGACTACACCCTTAACTTGGGCCTGGGTTTTAGTAAAGCTTGAGTGAATGTCCCTTGAGTCGCACCCTCTTGTAGGGGATACCAACAATGATAGGTGGCGCTGCTCAAAGAATATTTTCAATAATATTCCACCAAATAGCATGAATGAAAGGAGTTGTGATGAGCAATTCCGACCCAGGTGCATGTGTTAACGCAAGATAGTTTCGTAATCTTCTGGACATAATCGGGCTAAATATATCTGCATTTAATGAACGTGTATATATCCCATTCTTGCAGATATACAACGTATATACAAATGTATACGCAACAGGTATACATCAATTATAGGATATGGAAACTTGTGCAAATTTTCACAGCTAACAGAAAGTGTTAGACAAAAATAACTAAGTCGCACTCAAGTGAGCTCTATATGAATACAAATTAACAATATTTTTTTAGAGAATGAATGCTCCTCCAGTGAGTGGAACGTTATACTTATTTCAATCCTACTTGAGTGTACCTCACTTGAATGTTACAGAAGGGCGAGTGTGACTGTGATTGAGCTTTTAGAATACAGGTGTTAATCTTGGTGCTGTTTGGTGACACCAAAATGGTTCCAAGTGATTGTGGAATTCGATGATTGTGTATTTAAAGATTGGCGAGCACATTTAATTAGTCCACTGTAACTGTCTAATGTGTGATGACTCTGTCTACCGTTGTGATATGTTTGCCATGGTTGCATATACAAGTCTTCCATCTGCTTAGCGGACATGCATGTATGCTTCCATACGTATTTGCATAGTGGATTTCCAGACCATCTTCTCCAGACCAGCTTTCAGTACGATTGCGTTTTGACATCTTTTTCTGCATGGTGCTGAATATGTGGTATATTGTTTTATATTTCACTGAGGTCGATAGTTGACGTTCCGCAATTTTTTAATGAATCATACAGGTTGTGCATAGGCGCGGGAGCAATTTGAAATTGGAGAGGCACTCCGTGTTAATGGCTCTTCTTCAGCACGGCTTATTGTTTTTCATTGGGAATAGCTGGGCATTGCATGACAGTGGTATGCAAAATGCCGATTGCTAGTACACTTTTTCCTGGGATATTGACCGTTTTTGTTCTTCTGGACCTTCTACAACAGTAAATTTGATGTACCATTTTTCGGTCTCAGACGACCTTTTCAACCCCAGTTTCATGTGATAATTACTACCGGCATTTCACAAACTACTCTTCCTAGACCCTCTACAACCACCTTTTTATGCTTATCGATTTTGCACCTCCTAGACCCTCTACAACCGTCAAAATAGTGCTCAGACGCGACTTTTCATTTCTGATGGTTATCAACAACCGGTTCATCATTTTCCAAAAAACTCCCGAAAACGGGCAATTTACCAACCACAGACCCATTTCAAGCTCATTTTCACTCATTTCTCAAATTTTTACAAGCCTCGCCGGACTCCCAGGATTTCTCTAATTTACTACTTCGGGGACACTTTTAACACACCTTTCTCATAGAAAACACCACTTTTGTTTCAGTTTTCTCTTTTAAATGACAAATTGAAGCCACCTTTTACTGTCTCAACAACCTATCTATTTATTCTCCTTTTTTGAAGTCAACCTAACATGTCCATACGCCAAACTTCTAACTCCATCAGTATACAGGTACCTTTTATCATCAAAAGCACTCAATGAAATCTTATTTAAATTGTATGTCCCTACTTCATGACAATCGCTTCTTATAACGTTCATACTATGTTTCATTTGAAGTCCCTCCACCAGTGTCCTCTTATAGTCTTCATGAGTGATAAACTTCTTAATTACATACTTCTTTTCACCTTTAGCTGTCTTACCACCTTTACCATTACCTTTCTCATAACTGTACATCTTTGACCGCAACCCAATGAATTCTCTTATGGGGACCCCCGAAGCTTAATCTTTCGTTTTACCAATAACTTTCTTGTTAACCGCATCATAGAAGGGCGAATCCTTACTATAACCGCTAGTATCAAACTTATCGGAAAACTTAGCCGCATCTTCACGCATCAGGAGTGTGCAATCTATACATCAAACTATCTGTATCAGTAAAAAGTAACACATAATTTAACTACTCGGCTTACTCGAATCATAGTCACTCATATACTTGTTATTAGCCTTTGCATATCTATGACCAATATAGCTTACACCTCCTCTCATTCCCTTCTCGATGAACTGATACATGTCAACATTAGAGAGCAAATCCGACCTGATACCGGTCCTTTTCAACATAGCATCCCAACTGAGTCCAGGAGCAAAAATGTAATGTGCAGGATCCAACTTATAGCTTCCAAGACAAACTCTCCTAAAGTCTTCAAAAACATCTGCTAACAACAGCACATCAGTCTTCAAGTATAAATCATAGTAATCACCTAAGTTACTACAATTAAACTTCTCATACACCTTACACGCTCTCAAATAGTCATCATCATTAACCTCTTCCTCGTACAGTGAACTATAGAAAGCAGATTTCTCAGGCAAGCTCTTCTCATTGAATTTCTCCCAACAGTTCATATGTTCGTAAGGATAAACGCCCTTCTCAAGTAACATCTCAAGCTCCTGACCTTTCCATTCACACCGCATCCTTTTAAAACGATCATTATCAAGATTCTCCACAAGGTCCCCAAGACTACTGCTCATAAACTGCATCGAGTCAATGAAAACCAATTGCTTGCTCACTCTGAAGGACATGTACTTTTGCATATTATTGGCAATCACCTCAATCCTCTCACCAAGTTCAGCAACACCCTGCATAATGAGTCCAGGAGCAACTGAGTCCAGGAGCAAAAATGTAATGTGCAGGATCCAACTTATAGCTTCCAAGACAAACTCTCCTAAAGTCTTCAAAAACATCTGCTAACAACAGCACATCAGTCTTCAAGTATAAATCATAGTAATCACCTAAGTTACTACAATTAAACTTCTCATACACCTTACACGCTCTCAAATAGTCATCATCATTAACCTCTTCCTCGTACAGTGAACTATAGAAAGCAGATTTCTCAGGCAAGCTCTTCTCATTGAATTTCTCCCAACAGTTCATATGTTCGTAAGGATAAACGCCCTTCTCAAGTAACATCTCAAGCTCCTGACCTTTCCATTCACACCGCATCCTCTTAAAACGATCATTATCAAGATTCTCCACAAGGTCCCCAAGACTACTGCTCATAAACTGCATCGAGTCAATGAAAACCAATTGCTTGCCCACTCTGAAGGACATGTACTTTTGCATATTATTGGCAATCACCTCAATCCTCTCACCAAGTTCAGCAACACCCTGCATAATGAAATGGCTATCATATCCACGTAAATTATGGAATCTTACCAGGAATCTTACCAGTCAACTTAAAATTCAAGTTACACGAGTTATGGGCCGCACCTCTGAACTTGCCGGTGACATGACAGTGATCTAACACCTTCCCATCAGCCTTGGTGAACTTTCCATTACAGATGTGACACTCAGTTGCCTTCTCAAGCTCCTTATAGTCTCCAACACTCATAATTGCCACCTTGTTGAACTCATTTTGAATAATCCTATTACATTCCTCGGCTTCAGCTACAACATCACTTAAGAATCTTCCAATTGCACCGGCTCCCCTGTAACTCTTGTATTCACCATCATACTTACCATCATAGTAACACACTCTCTTAAACCCATAGCTACACATCTCATGACTATGCGTCTTACGTAAACATTCTCCTTTTCCATCAACGGGTATCAACAATGATTCAAAGTCAGCATATATCACAAACTGAACTGGTAATTGTCTCCTATGATTCTTGAACACCACTTTACTGCCAACCTCGTTCCCAGGCTCTTTGCTCTTGTGAAGCAAAGACCCTGGTCGGGGCTGGTCACGTGACCCCGCAGATTCTGCGTGGTAAATTGAATTGATCTCAGGGAGGGGTGGTAGAGGAGTCTGTTTGTTACGTTTGGAAAATTGCAATTTTATGTGTTATAGTTTCGGGTGATAAAAATGTAATTTGCAACAAGAAATCGTGAAAGGAACAGTTTTAAATTCGTATTCATCATGACACAACTTCCTGCTATACTGAATGTCATCAATAATAAGTGTTGCGGTACATTTCAAGCGACAAGCTGGATCATATTTCACTTCCAAGGACTCCACACGCGCCTGGCTTGCGAAGTTGAGCACGCATCGCCGTAGAAACATATAAGTCTTCCCAATTCTATACCGACTGACGATCAAACGATACTAAATGAACGATATGGTTGTTTATTGTTGAAGTGTATCCTGTCCGATATTCAACAAAGCCAAAGGATTTATTTTATAATGGAAGATTTCCCAAACATCGCTAACTGTGTGTAAACAATAGTGCTATCTTGACTGTGAAAGCACAGGATTAAAACCGTTATGGACTGTAAAATTCCTTTCATTTACATTGCTGAAACTCGACGATCAAGAATGATTATGTCGAAGACTCGAAGTATAGCTATCTGTCATCAGACGAACACCAAGACCACTGTGCGTTTCCGTGCGTGCGGTACATATAACTTGAATATTTAGGACGATATATGCACCAGATTGCACCAGACACTGGTATTGTACTTCATAGTAAATTATTTCATATTTTGTGTGTTACAGTAATTTACAGCAGGTACATTAATTTATAAACCTTATAAAGACCTTTCATTCCCATTGCCCATTCAGTGCTTTATATTTGAAGAATAACCCGACAGCTTCTTTCGACTTGTATAATGCTGCTGTGCGTCATCAATATTTAAATCAACTTTAAATAATCTTTATCGTATACTGTATAAATGACATTTTAGCAGTTTCACCAAACCATACTAGAGGCAAACAACCTATCTATCAATGGAAACTTTAAAAGGCTTATTAAAACTCATTAATTAAGTAATTCTATGAGCTGGACTTCGTGCGCATATATACAGTTTATGAATTATGTATATATATATCCCTGATAAAACGTAGGGACACTTTATACCAGATATAATAAAAAATACTTTGCTAAACCTTTTCGGCTATCATTCCTTTGCATTCAAGGGGCGAGGGTGAATGGCTATATAATTCATATCGGAGATTCTGTGCAATCTGATTTAGTGATTTTGGCTTCAACAAACAGGTACTCGTGCAGACAAAAAAGGAAATGCATACAGTTGTGAATTGTCGTATAATTCTTTACTGTTGATCCCAAACAATTTTGTACATGTACGTTAACACTCCTTCCTACCTTGTGTTGAATATAAACGATGATAACCTTTTTAAAAAAATCTAGAGCACTATGTCTATAAACCGTTTTAGAATCAATAGAATGGACAATCAATGTCTATTTGGCTAGTGTCCAAATATGTAACGTTTGCTGTAGGACCAGCAAGGCGCTACGCCTACGACCTACACAGTCGCTTTTGAGACCTCTATTTAACAAAATTTATACCGTTTCCATATGACAACAATTCAATGGCACATTATAAGAATATTATACGTATCTGAACCAGAGCCAGATACAGAAACGTACGCGTGAAATGAAACTGCGCCCTAACCCCGCGAGACAATAAAAGGGCAAATATTTCCAAGCATATACGATCATACGTTTTCGTTGCTTGATTTTCTGACTTGTTTGTTGCTATAAGAATCTACAGTTTAGCATGTTTGTATAATTTAAAAGCAAACAGAAACCAATTTAGCAAGTATTTTGAAGTATATATGATTCTCAAAGATGATTGTATAGAACGGTCACTCCTTGCAATCGAAGTGTGAGGTGCGGAAGTGGAAACATGTAATTTGATACTTTTCCATCCCCCTCTTAGGTTATCAATTTTCTATGGGTCACGTGACCAGCCCCGACCAGGGTCTTTGCTTCACAAGAGCAAAGAGCCTGGGAACGAGGTTGCTTTACTGCCTCTCTTTGGCATCATAGTTTTCTGCGTCCCATTTACCTCTCTACATGTCTCCACATGCTCATCTAATCGTTTCTGTGAGTTAAACCCATTAAGGCAACTAAGACAGTAATATCTTTTATGCTGCGTCTTATGTAAACTACTGAGTGACATGCTAATATCCCTCACAAGGACATAGTGGGTATTTCCCTCACCGTCCTCCATTAACAACAACTCCATGTGATCCTTATAGTCAAACTTCGATGTATACCTAGGGAAGAACATCTTTTCTCCCTTCAACATGATCACTGTAATTCTAATCTCATTTGCCACCTCAATCTTAGGTATATCATCGATCCTCACAGGGAACTCAATACCATCATAATTAAGTACCTTAGCAAACTCTCTATCAGGCTTGGTAATCTTATTTGCCTTCTGCTCCTTCAGCTTCAAATGTCTCACATGACACCACCTAAAGCAGTCGTTGTCATCCATATTCTCAATGTTAATTAACCCATTAATCTTTGACTTCAAAGGAGCAGGTAACTCGATAAATGAACTGCCAACCAATGGATTGAAATGAACAACGTCAACTTCATGTGACTCAACCATAATCACCCTCCAATTACTACCACGATCTTCAACTTCAATGGCGCTCATAACGGTAATCGTTTCACTTTCCATTGGAAGATCAACAGCAGCATTCTTACTGAGAAGACCCTTCACCATTTTCAACACAAGAGTCTCAGTGAACTTAATTGGTTGGTCAAGAACAGATTTGAGCAAATTACTTACAATCTCACGACTCACATCAAGTTGCCCACCAAAGTCAGGTCGACTTATACCTAAAGAGAACTTCTCAACTGTTCCCTCATCACTTTCACCAGTCTTCGTATAATTTATTGTATGCAATGTTGGAGTAGTTGATCCACCTATAACTTCAATCCCCTCTTCGCCAACCTTCATCGATGCAATATTCCTTTTCAACTTCCTGTTATCATTCCTGAGTTTACCCAAAGCACCTTTATTAGCAGCACTCTCCTTCTTCAGCTTCCTATTGTCCTTCTCAAGGGTCTTTAGCTTTTTCTCGTTATCAGCATCCTTAATTTAATTTCAATTCCTCATTAGCCTTCTCAAGAGCACCTGTTTTCACCTCCATAGCATCCATCCTAGCTTTCATTTCCATCATCATCTTAGTGTATTCCTTCATTATCTCCACAGGATTTCCTATACCTAGATTTTCCATTCTTTCTCTATATGCTAAGGTATGTTTAAATCTTTAAGCCCCTGTTTTCCCACATACCTCCCACATCTCATGTTTCACTCACCGTACACACTCCATAGTAACAGTATCATGGCCCCAATCAACCATCCGTCAAAACCGGGCTTTTGAGTAAACCATAGACATCTCACAAGTAAAATACAGACATCTACTAAGCAGATTATAGATCATCTGTCAAGTAGATCATAGACAGTAGATACCTTACAAGCAGATTTAAGATATCTCACAAGTGAATTCAAGACATCTCAGTAGATATCTCACAAGCAAATTCAAGATATCTCACAAGTAGATCCCAGTTATCTCACCAGTAGATTCCAGACATCTCACAAGCAAATTCCCAGTTATCTATCAAGTAAAACCCATAGAAAAAATAGACATAGAATGCGTGCTCCCCCTATCTCTTCTCAGTAAAAATTTTGTCTCCACACAAAATGGCGGATTTATAAGGGCATTTTGGCTAGTCCCAGACTCCTGTGGCGTGGAATTTCGCGCGGTGCCATAGAATATATAATAGACCAGAAGCCTCACTGTACACCTTTCCTTAACATTTTCGTGTCCGCGATTTTCGCCTTACGGATCACGAATTTCGCACGCTAGATGACGTGTGTGACACTTGCTGCGAACATCACGTCAGCGTTCGTCAGCAAAACGGTTAAAACAGCAATCTTTATTACCTGATAATGGCAATTAATGGCGTAATTGCTCGCGTTTGATGGCGTGGATTACACTTGCTGGCTCGCGCCTGCGCATAAAAAATCTCGGACATAATTTTGGCACAGTGAGGCTTCTGGTTTATTTTCTATTCTGTGGCGGTGCCGGGAATGCGAATTGTTTTTTTCAACAAAGTTTGCAAAAACAATTCTATCCAGACTTGAAGTGGAAAAGAAGTGTTTTTAATGGAGAAAAACCCGTTCCCGTGGGTTTTTTTACGAAGAGCAATAGTTCTGAACAGAATATATAGAGAAATCGTCGTTTCAAAATACATTTTCAACGTTGTTGTGCAAGCCAAAACAAAACACGAAAACTCAAGACAAACTGAAACTCAATAGGTATGTTTTAAAAAATATATTTCAACTGTTTTATAATATAAATAGAGTTCAATAATCTTTTTAAACTTACACAACTACTTTTTATACTTTTTTATACGTTGCTTGAGCTTGAGGCAACGCTTTTGAAACCATATGTTTTCGACGATCATTTAGGGCCTGTTCATATGATCCCGCTTACCGGGACGTCTCGCTTACCGAGACGAATATTTCCGTGCGTTCATATGGAGTATTTCGTCCCGCTTGCCGAGATGAAATTACATTGTAGTTCTATAATTAGCGTATGCAAAACTTCTACATTTCAGTCAAGCAACACAAATACTTGGCCATTTTAGTGTTTTTCTTCGTTTATTTACAAGAAAAAGTATTGCTTCAGGTGGTTATTTAATTAATACTTGTTTACAAAACAAACATAAAACCAAGTAAAAAGTGTTAAATTAAACCGGCAAGACTTGTTTCACTTCATCCCGGTAAGCGGGCTGGCGTGTTCATATGGAAAAATTTTCATCCCGCCTACCTATGATCTCGGCCAATTCAAACGAGATCTCGGCAAGCGGGCCAGCTCGCTTTCTCATATGAACACAATGCAAAATTTTATAGGAAAATAGATAGGCGGCGAGATCATCGGTAAGCGAGACGTCCCGGTAAGCGGGATCATATGAACAGGCCCTTAGGCGATTTACAGTTTTAAATATCAACAACTAAATATTTTTTTTTCAAAAACATGAAAACACTTCGTTTAGATTGAAGAAAAACAAAACCTGACGATGAATGAACTATCATCTCGTAATTTTATAAAGTATTAGCAAAACAGTTACGTTCAGAGCTTGCAAAAATGTTTTATGAGTAAGTTATATTTTATACGCGAAACTACACGAAAAAACTACTTGTTTTTTATACAAGGCTGCACGATTTTCACCGTTTTTGTAACGGCACATTTGCTTTGAGCCTTTAAAGAACTTAATATTTCAAATTCTATCCCCAAACTACAAATACCAAACGTTTTGACGATGAAAACTTTATAGTTTTAGTTTTGTTTATACTTTGTAGTTTGCACTCCTACTCAAATTCAACATGGCGGATTTATAAGGGCATTTTTGTTTTCAGTTTGGACACCGGTCACGTGACCAAGCACGCATTCTAGGTCTAATATTTCTATGGTAAAACCCCAGTAGATCCAAGATATCTTACAAGTAGAATCCAAGTAGATTCAAGGAAACACAGGAAAGTAACCATCATCTCTCTTCTCAACTCCCACTCCATGTTTACCTTCCCATCGACGCTTCACACATAGTTTTTCCACGTACTTTAAATTAAACTTCTTCCAGTTACACGCTAGATTTCCAGATAGTTCTAGTCTGTCTTGAAAGTTGAACAAAACCGCTTTGTTTTTCGATTCATCGCCGTCTGAGCCTGAAGACATTAACAGGTTCGCTGCACTCCGTGTTATTATTCTTTCCTTCGTCCTACATACAACTTCGTATGCATTCGTTCCCTAGGAACCAACTCAACAAAATGGCGGCTGTGACGTCATGTGCAAACGCTCTCGTCACGACAAACACTTCACGACACGTTCGCGACAGTTACAACCATATGTGAACCAGGCTTAACGGATTACCGTTCCTAATAGGGTAAGTTGTAAAACATGGAATCTGGAATCTTGGAATCTGGGAATCCTGGAGTCTTATTATATAAACGCAAAGTATGTTATTAACAAAATATTATCATTAATATCTTAACAATAACAAAATATTAATATTTATTATTAGCATGACAAAATTACTGGATGCTGATTGGTTGAGAGGAGTACAATTAACGATTTTCCCAAAACAAACAGAAAATGGCGGAAAGGTATTAGCAAAAGAACTAAATGAAAGTACGAACAAAAGCACCAAGTTCTGGTTGAAAGTCTGGCAGGACTGGACTTTACCCGTTTTGGCGAGAGAATATGATGTTGACATGTAGAAAACATCACTCGTACTATTAATCCCTAATTAATATTGTACTCGCCATCGCATGATTACCTATACATATAGAAATATTAATTATATATATATATATATATATATATATATATATATATATATATATATATATATATATATATATATATATATATATATATATATATATATATATATATATATATATATATATATATATATATATATAAATATATATATAAATATATATAATCATTAATCAATTATTAATAAAATATAGACTTTGCAACCATAAATGTTGAAATACATCTATCATTTACAGGGTTGGTTGATTAGAAAAATATTGTATATTTACAAAAACGTATTTACTATAATATAGGAAGAGTTTAGAACTTCTAGTATGATATTACCATTATTTACAAATAAAAATGTATGTAATTTATAGTTACTCAATGTTTATTATAAATCGTTACAGACGAGGGAATGTACGAATTTTTGAAGCGATTTGTCCGACAATTAATTGGAACGAGTTTATTCGATGTGCGTAGATTGTAGGTTGGATGTTCGGCTGGTTCAACTAGTTCAGAAAGAGGACTAGTTTGCGGAAGAACCTTTTTTCTAAAAAATTTTGAACATAACAGTTCGCGCCTAGAATACAATGTTGGGATATTGAGATCTGATAAGGATTCTTTGTATGATGACGATGGGTTAATTATTTTCAACGCTCTTGACTGGATCCTTTCTATTTCTTTGGATAGGTATTCAGGTATGTTATAATGCCAAACTTGGGCGCAATACTCCAAAATGGGTCTTACACATGAAAAATACACTGATATCAATGTTTTAGTGTCACAACAAGCTCGCTTGAGGAGTCTAAGCATGTAAAGGCGTTTTGCGGATTTTTTCACTATGTAAGCCACGTGGTCATTCCACTTTAGGTCGTCCTTGAAAATTAAGCCAAGGAGTTTAGCGGATTTCACCACTTCAATGGGCTGTTCGTCAACGATCATTGGAGGGAAATTTGGATTGTTTTTCCAAAAACAAACGAGGATTTCTTTGCATTTACGGGGGTTTACTGGGACATGTTATTTCTTGCACACCACTGCATAATTCCTTCTAAAATAGTTTGAAAGTTCGAATCTTGGTTTCTAGAAAGGGTTTCTGAAACAGACGAATCGTCGACATATTTCCATCTATCGTCCCAATCAACCAACAAATCGTTTATCATAATCATAAATAGAATCGGACCTAAGACAGTGCCTTGTGGAACCCCATAATGACCGGTCCCTTAACTGTCTTCCGCCTGGTCATCTTGCTACGCGCTTGATTTAGCTCTCGCCATAAAGCGATGATATTATTTAGATGCGCGCACAGCGTTTATATTATCAGTATTATCATCAAGATAGAGATATTAAATTCTGCAGCGTACAGTATATATTACTATAAGCTCTGCTTCTGCAAACTGATTGTGTTCTCACCAAGTATTAAATTATCGTATGCAGAAGAATATGTTGCATACGTGTAATAATAATATCTTGATAATAACATATTTTGCATTTATATGAACAGATTCCAGGATTCCAAAATTTCAGATTCCATGTTTTACAACTTACCTTCCCAATAGCCCGCTATGATATTATAAATAGTTTGTCCTGGTTGACTGATATTCATTGTTATATCAGTTCGATATTCTTTAAAAGGCCAGTTGTTTGATCGAGATAATAATTATCAACAGTTAGACATAAAAAACTTCTGCAAGTAGACATGGCCAATGAGCAAACACAAGAGAGCGAATGTGCTTTCAGCAACGATAAATTAAAAGAGCAGGGTCATCCACATGAGAAGTCAGCAAATAAAGAGAACGCTTCTGGCAATGACCAACAGTGTACTAGCTCTGACATCGTAGTTGATATGATTGCAGCGGGATCTAACTCAAAGGACAGTATTGCTATCTGGTTTAAAACAAGTTTTGGTTTGATTGGAGCCCATGGAAGTATCAGGAAAGAATTGTTTATTAGCGCAGTCAAGCAAATCGGGGTAGGTTTGTTTGATTTGAAACTAAACTAAATGTTAAGTGAATTCAATAAAAATATAGGTTAAATAAACAAAACTTGAATGGTTTAACGTATGTTATAGGTACAGATGTATGGGAATGTACGACAGTTAGTTTACTTTTACAAAAACTCTTACTAATTACTATTTTTAGCAGTGAATTCTATATTTTGAAGTTTACAATCAGAAATTGAATTATTCTTGACAGGATGGATCGGCATAAACACAGTTAACAAAGTATGCAATAGCACAATTGTTGTAAAGCGCATTTGATCATGACTACACGTAAGTCTGTGCTATAGCAGTTGCCTGTTGGACACTGGACAGCAGCATGATTCCGAGTGATTGTGGAATTCGATGTTTGCATGCATGTGTATTTAAAGATTGACAAGCACATTTAATAAGTCCATTTTAATTAAATTAAACTCTATATTTTGTGATAACTCTGTTTACCCTTGAAATATGTTTACTTATGTCTTCTCTAGCAATAAAAGACGTTTCATGCATAGCCGTACATGTATTCCTGTTCACAGATAGGCCATACTAGTTGCTGCAATCATGCATGGTAAAAATTCCGTGGACACTTAGGTGGAAACAAAAGTATATTACTGGTCAAAAATACATGTTGGCTTCTTTGTCTCCCCGGCTCTGACATGTATTACACAAAGCTTTCATTTATAGCCAATTGATAAGCACTGATACAACACTGAACCGGGGGGAGATGGAAGAGGTTAAAAATTGGAGATTAAAAATTGCTGTTTTGCATATGTATTGGGCAAGGCAGGTATTTCTATTTTCGCGCGCGCGGTCCACAATATTGGCATCAACTCTTATCTAGGTTTCTCTATTCACTAATCTTTCGTTCAACTTATTAAATTTTATCTGGTCCTTGTAGTGGATTTCCAAAGTCAATGGTTGACGTTCCGAAGATAATATGAGAGTTCTCAATGTTTTGATAAACCAGATTCCATGTTTTACAACTTACCTTCTTAATAGCCCGCTAGAGTATTGTTTGTCCTGCATGCAGGTTGACTGATATTCATGGTTACATTCGATATTTTCTAAAAGGCCAGTTGTCTGATCGAGATAATTTCAACAGTTAGACAATGTTAATGGTTGATGTTCCGAATTAAGATAGTACAACCATACAGGTTGTACCAAGGCGTATAGGGAGCAATTTTAAATTGAAGAGATACTTTGCCTAAAGGGCTTCTCTTCCACTGGAAAAGGGCACTTTTATCATTGTTTAGGTATCTATGACAAGTTTTTACAAGGCTAGTTTTATTTGTCAATTGCAATTGCATTTTCTATGACAAGCTTTTTTTCCTCACCGCCAGGATGCATCACCTATTATTGGCCATTACAACCATAGATCTCTGACGAACCGCTCAAATTACTTTATTAAATTTCTTTGTCACAAAATTTTGTGCTTTACCAATTTTTTCTTTGATAAGTGCAATTGTTTGAATGCATTCATATACAGTACTAGCTTCTAAACCAGTGTACTAATTGTCATAGTGAAAATTGGCAAAGACGCCTATACGCGTCGCAGACGTGCAAATACAATTCCTCATATGCATGAATACTTGTCATAAGAAACATGCATACTCGTCCGTAACGTAACCTGCTTTAACAACTTTTCAGCAAAAATCTCATTGTTGTTATTGAAGAATCGCAGTTAACCGTGATGATTTGCGCGCTAAAATCTTTTCATTGTTTTGTATTCCACCATTTTATTAGCCATGCACTTTAGTGACGAAAGATTGACATCCAAAGCGTAATATCCTTATCAATCTGCATTATTTTTAGACGATGTTATATTTTTTCTAGTTGGAATATGTTAATAAATCATTGATTGAGATTTTGGCGTGTGTTTTTGTCTTAACCAATGATTTTAGAAAGTTTCTCATTTTATAAAGTAGATGGCTAATCATGGCTTCTGTATTTCCCGTTCGTGGAAGGCCAACAAATGAGGGTATATCAAAAAGAATATTGTTGACAAGTTCAACGATACTTGAACCACCGTCCTTTGCATGGACGAAAAGGAATCCTAGGAAGTCTGGAAATACGGGGGCTTTCGCATAGCGTGTTCGCCGAAATCCTGCTCCATCAAAGCATGGACGAACTGCGTGAACGTGGAGGGCGATGGCAGGAATCAGGATTTCATCAACACCAGCGATATAAATAAATAAAGCGCAGAAAGAATAATGTTCCTAATGCATATCATTTTTAGTGTATGACTATTTTCGAAGACAACACTATTTTTAGCATCCCATATTATATATGTAAACATTCACACAGCGTGCGAAGCAGCATGGTTGACTGTGATTCTTTAAAGGGCGCCCCATAAAATAATCATGTTACCAAACCAACGCAAACGGTGGATTTTACAATAAAATCAAAACACTGCGCTGTAGATATTCATTATGTCTTCAGCTTGACATCCCTGGCGTATTTCCAGATCCACTATCATAAATATTGCAACTATGCGAAAATTGTAACCACTTGCAATCTACATTTTAGGTAACCATGACCAATGTTCCCACGCGTTTTAACAAATCGCTGTTGAATATTTATGTAACTCTACATGATCACAAAGTTTGAAACGGCGATTACGCCATCATCATCTTCTTAAGAATGAAATTTCATATAGATTTGTCAAATATATGCATGTTTATAAGAAACTCAATTTCATGAATTGTGCTTCAATTCGTTAAATCCTATAATGGGCCAAATCCCCTAAGAGGGGGCCTAATTTGACCCTAGTAGGAGGGGGGCAAATTTCCTAGGAAATATAGTAAGGGGAAGGGGGATGTAAGGGGGCATGAAATTTCCAGCAGCAGTTCATTTTTCAAAATCCCAAGCGTGACGTTGCCATAAAGCCGGTTTTCCACTAGGCGGAATTTTGCGCGCGGAGCGGACTTTTTCTTTGTCTTGTGATTTCTCGGGTGGAACTAATTAGAAAAGACAAAGAAAAATTCCGCTCCGCGCGCAAAATTCCGCCTAATGTAAAACCGGCTTTATAGGCCGGTTATTTTGCGCGCGGAGCGGAATTTTTCTTTGTCTTGTGAGTATACTGTCTACTCTGGTGGAACCATAGATATCTTATATACACTAGATAGCGCATCTCTTTTAGTAAAATTGAAGCTAAGAATATTCCAGCGGTTACCCCCATTTAAATAGATGGCGGCCATGTCGGTCGTTCCCACTTGCTAATAAATGCTTAAAAACAACAATAACTTTCATCATTTGAATAGTTTAAAAATGTATTTGAAATAGGGTTAACGTAATGTTTAAGTTCCCTGCTTAAGAAATAGAAAACATACGAATCTTCTCATTTCATGGGAACGACCTGAGACTGCAATCACGGCTTCAATTTTTGAATTGCAGAATAATTAGATGCACTATCTAGTGTATATAAGATATCTAAAAGACAAAGAAAAATTCTGCACCACGTGAAAATTTCCACCTAGTGAAAAACCGGTTTTGTATTCATTACTCCGGGTACTGTAAGTACCGGAGTATTAAAATGGCCAATCTTTTTTCTTAGGCGACGCAAGTGTGCACTTCCACAGGTGCACCGTACGTAACGCACGCAACGCACTACAAAAATACGAAATATCTAAAAATAGCCGCCATTCGTAGTAGATCGGAGCGAGCGTTGTGTTTAGCTGTTTACAATGTATTTAGTTCTATTTACAGTAAATATTATCAAATGGAGGGGTTCTCATACACTCGTTCTTATACAATGACCACAGTTCATATAAATACAAATCGAAATTCGAGACTTTCTCGCGTGTTTAGTAGCGGTTGCCGTTATTGGAAAGCTAATTCTGATCGACAACTGGCTTGGTTCGTTACTGACGTTAGCCCGGTATTTTTTAATTTTGTCAACACTGTACGTAGTTAAATTGTGTTAACACTCGTCACTCGTGTTCTTTAAGTCTCCCTAATTTGTGCCTCGTGGCCAAAATTGAAGTACAAACAACGCACAAATCTATTCGACATATGACATATCTGAAAGTCTTCGATTCGCGAGGCAATTTATATCGCAAACCACAACAATATTGGCAATATTGTCTACCACGCTTGAATTAGACAAAAGCGCGTATAAAATATATATAACTATAGATAGCTTTACCCAACACTATCACTTCTATTACACAGTTTAATGTTTTATTTATAGAGTACTAAAACTCGGTCTCGACAGCTGCATTGTCTTGGTCTTAAAGTAAAATCATTACTAGAACAATCTAAACGTTTGATAATAACAAACTTACAGAAGCCTTACAAATTAAAACAATCAATCTGTATAAACAAAATATCAACATAACTTGGTGCCAGTTATAAACTTACTACCATGCATTGAAAAAGTGTTGACAATTAACTATATGACACGACTAACAATATATTACTTTTTAAATAATTTTCTTTGCGTGTTTGATAAATGTGGTTTGTTTACGTTAGCTATTTTTAGTAATTCAGTTTCAGGAGTTCTTCTCGAGGGTCGAGGGTGGGAAGCGAGGGTCGAAAAATCATATATAAAAAGTCGAGGGTCATATATAAAAAGTCCGGGGTCGTATTTCTAAAATATTTTATGGTTTTTATTGTCGAGGGTAGAAATTTGCGGGCATTCCCAATAGGTAAATTTGCAAGTGGGGCAAGCACAATAGCGAAAACAATACTTTGAAGATGGCGTCGCGAACCCGGAAAAGGCGTATGGCAATGGAAAGGTGTAAACAAGTCCTGATTACTTTGATTCAATAGACCATATAGACTGATACAATAATTTGCGACATGCAATCCGAGATAACGCAGATAATGCACCACGCCGTTTGAAAATATCTCGACTGTCGCTTTTGATCGGCATGTCTATTTTTATGTAGTAATATTTCGTCATATAAAAAGTAATCGCATATAAAAAATTAATAATTGCATATAAAAATAAGAGCTAAAAATTAAAAGTAAAGTAAGTGAACACGAAC